GTCAAGGCCGCCGATGCTTGGTCTAGAAGCCCGAGAGCGCTCCTCGTCCTGTGGCAGGAGAAACACGAGTGGCATGGAACGAGGTCGGGCATGCCCGTCATTGTGGTGAGGGTTTCGGCGACCTTGGCCGCCCTTGTTCGATGCAATAGGTGCACCCTGTTACAATCGTGCTGCGCATGGCACTCCAGATTTTAGTGTGGTCCGTGCATGGAACGAAGTCAGTCGAACCGGTTTACGTGAAGCAAGCATGAACGGACATGACCGATCTCATTCGATGCTAACAGTGCTACTGAAGGTTCTCCAGCAGTATCAATTGCGGGGAACGAGGGCGGACGTGGTGGCTGCCATGGTTACTTGCCTGGTCGGTCGTCGCGGTTGCATACTACACCTGCACGATCCTAGTCAACGCAACGATATCGGTCAGAAGAAGAACATACTCCTTCACCTCGTACACCACACGCCATACACCTCTGGCGGCATTGCATCATGCCCAAAATGTCGTGCGTGACGGCGGCACACGTTTCCAAGTGTACCTGGCCCCCGTAGGCGTAAGTGTCGCGCACGTTCGCTCACTGTGCAAATGAGGCGTGCGCTGAAGGTACGTCGAGCCCACGAGCCTCGCACTACGCAACAAGAACGGCCCACGGAGGAGTTGCTGCATGACGCTTTGAGAACTGACCGCTCGAACGTACACGCGGTCATACGCCGTCGTGGTCACCGGTCATATGGGGCTGAACACTCATATCGCATTCTCTCCCGAACGCATTTTTGTCCATGCAATGCTGGCCCATTGTTCAAGACATTCTGTATTGAGCGGAAGAGTTACGAAACTAAAGGGCAGCGACGCTTGGACTGGGGTGGTGGGGCCAGCACTACGATATCTTCGTATCCTCGTCGACGCTTCCTCGGGGGCTCATCGTCGACCACTCGGTTGGACTCTCGAATGTCAATGGCTTCAAAGCAAAACATCGCGACTTCCCGAAGACTGTACCCTGCATGCTGCAGCAACAACATGCGCTCTATGTGGTCCAGGCGCCGTATTCGACGCGGCCTGTTCATGGGGACTACCGACGGCACGTCGTGGCATTCCACGGAGCGGTGTGTCTTGACGAGGCCAATGGGCGACCCTTGGTCACTCGGGATGGCCCCGTAGTCCACGTGGTGAACGTGGCGCGTTGGTGCGTGGTGGACGTGGCGAGGAGTGGGGGGAACTCAGCGGTCTTCCACGGCATGAAGGTCGGGGCGGGGTGGTTCCAAGGCGTGGCGGCCGTTGTT